TTAAATTCCCTCCCAAGTATTTACTTGGCCAAGGTTAAATTAATTAATTCCCTCCCGAGTACCCCTACTCGCCCAAGGATGAATCATTATTTAAATTCTCTCCCAAATGTTTACTTGGCCAAGGTTGAATTAATATAATTCCCTCCCGAGTACCCCTATTCGGCCAAGGTTGAATTAATTAATTATTTAATCACTGCTGAATCCCCTTGCAGACGTTATCCTTACAATGATTAATTGTATGAATTGTATAATAAGCGTTCGGTTATGATTGGGTAAGTTATTTCAGTTTTCAATACACATGCAAAAATCCAAAGAAGAAAATTGTATTTCAAATTTTTTGATTACAAAAGGGGAGCACTATTGCCCCAAAAGTACAAGAAAAAAATTATAAAAGATGATTTTAAGATTGTTCTTCCCCAGCATCAGGTCTAGGGCCCTCAGGAGGGGGGCATTTTCATCAGCAGCTCGGATAGGGGCTTCGGCATTCGGTTCCACATCGTTATCAACTTCAGTGTAAGGAATGAACCGGCCACCGAAGAAGTCTTTTGTAATGTCAAAACGGAAGTCGGCTGGGACGTGACAGAATCCATAGCATTAACGAACAGCGTGCTTAAAACCAGACTCGTGTTCAAATGCAACTTGATCCGAACACTTTGCGGCGAAAGCCCTCAAGTCGGTTTCAGCCTGCCTTTCAAGTGCCACAGCTTCCTCCATCTTGGTCGACTTGGCCCGTAGGGTTTCCTCCATTTGAGCAGACTTTACCCTTAATGCCTCCAATTCCTCTTCCTTTGCCCTCAGAGCCTCCTCGGCCGTTTTTAGTCATCCCTCCACTATCCGGTAGTGTTTCTTGTACTGGTTAACCTCAGCCTCCAAGGATTGAATGGTCTCGCCAAGGCTGGATTGAGTCTCTCAGCTCTCGGCTAAAGCTTTTTGTGAAGCCGAATACGTCTTCTGCATATTCTTCAAGTCAAGAAGTGGATTAACAACCAGCCTTCGAAGCATAGCTGTCGATCGTACTTGAAGTTCTGCATAGCGGCGCCAGACAGTCTCATAGTCCAAACTGTTGACTAATTCTTTACCCGAATTAGACAACAAGTTTGGAGCAGCTAGCCGGCTGGCGTGAGTCCTATTTACTAGGAAGGCCTCGGCAAGCATATCCAGAGGAATTACCGGATTGGATGTGCTTACGTGCCCCTTCAGCAGCATTCGGCTCACCCGAGTGGGCATGTTTTCTCTTTTTCTCCCTCTCGGTCTCCTTACCCTTGCCCTTATCTTTGCGCCTCTTGGGCTGATTTTCTATCGGGACTAGGTCTTGGGGAAGAGGGCGAGGCTCAGATATTTCTGGAAGTTGGTCAAGTTGAGGGTGTCGGTGCTCCTCAACAACTGTACCTTCTGGCGTCCTTTGCTTCAAAGTACGACGGAAGATTGGTACATCAACACCTCGCTGAGCCATTAAGCCTACAGTAAAAACAATAAGTTAAATCAATACAACTTGATTCAAAATATAAGTTAAAATCAAGACAATACATACCCTCCATATCCCAACGAAGACGCGGAGACTTGAGCACAAGGATTATATGTCAGGCAGGTAGATCCCGGGGGAGAGACTTCAAAAATTCCAAGTCTGATAACTCCCTAGCCGACAACATGTCCTCGGGGAATATGTCGTATCGGCGAGGTGCCCGACTCTAATGAAAGGGGAAGAGGGGATTATTCTCGCTATCAAAAAAATAATTTCTACCTACAGGGTCCACGGTCACCTTGAAGTAACCGGTCTTGAAACCCTTAAAAGACGAAGCATATGGTTTAAATAAAGGCAACTCGGGTTGCCTTATTAGAGACACCCACCTTGCTAAGTCAGATGGGTGTGTACAAAAGAGATGAAGAAATAGGCCTACACTAGGTTCTATATAATGGAATTTACAAAGTATCCTAAAGGCCTGTATCACCGCCCACCCGTTCGGGTGTAGTTGTGTCGGCGCTACATTCAAAACCCTCAAAACTCCCATTTGTAAGTCATCAAAGGGTAGCCTGATACCTTATTCGTACATAAAGAAGGTGTCGGCCATTCCGACACCCCCCAAGAAAACTAAGTCAGGGTTCTCGGTTTCGTCCCCTTGGCAGGGATTGAGGTGTATTAGATACGGATCAGACGCCTCCCACAAAGAAATATCACAATTATCTACAAAGAGTTGAAGACTTTTATTTCTTCTAAAACGAGAAAAGTACGCGGCCACTTCACCGTGCACCCACTTATATTCAGGTATTGTACAGGGGGGAAACACCTGTCTTTCCCTAGGGGGACTAGTACTCGGTAAGGGTTCAGAAGCGTCAGTATCACTCGAAGTAGATGACTCGGCTTTGTTGCTGCATTCCCTGACCTGTGCTTCTTCAGCCCTCTTGTTTGATATGGATGAAACCTCGCTACTCCCCTCAGTTTCGTTCATAATGTCTACTTTGATAGTATTCGGTCCCGAGACATCAGACAGAGAATCCTCCCACTCAATAGGTTCGGCCATGAAAAAAAAGAAGTGAGAAATTAAAACGCACCTTACAAGTAGTCGATATGGAAGAAAAGCTGAAGATCTTTGAACACTCTTCAGTTTGGAGCAACAATGTGCAGGTTTCGGTACAGAGCAAAAAAGCAGAAAATGGATGTAGGGACCACCACATATTTATAGGGGATCTGGTGTCGGGCAAACGAAAAGACGCCCCTCCTTTTGAACTGTCAGATTCCTTTCAAATCAACGGATAAGGTTGTGCACCCTTTCGTTTCGTACACCCGCTGACGAAACCCTAAAAGCCAACATTCTAGAATATTCCTTTATAAATTATGTATTTTTATATTATGATTTTTTATCTACTATCTCGGTTTGTATCATTATGTTACTAAACCGAGTACCTTTTGGTGTACGCCTGATACACATTCAAGTTTAAATACTACCATCACTCGTCCACTAAAAACCGAATACCCCCTTCGGTATACTCAAAATCACTATAACCGAATACCCCTTCAGTATATTCAAATTCACTTTAACCGAATCCCCCCTCGGTATAGTCAAAGACATCTTAACCGGCTACCTATTGTAGCCTTAACACTGATATTTAAAGCCCTCGCTTCGTACCTCTTCGGTCTTGGGGGGCTAGTGTACTGGATAAAGATCAACTCGGTCCTACTTGTAGAAAAAAGAAATCGAGTACCTATTCAGTATAATAGGCCGAATACCCCTCGTCAGGATTAAAAGGTAATTAACCAAATTAAGGGTAATAATCAAGATATTATTTACTTTAAATAAAGGGCTAAAATGAAGATTGGCTTGACAGGCCCATTGACCCATTACAGTGCCTATATAAGGAAGGTAAAAAGTACAGGTAAAGGGTTGACTTTTTATTATTAAATAGCATTTATTGCAACCGAATCCTGACTTCAGCATCGGAGTGGCTTTTGCAGATACCCTCCCACGTCAGCAACGGTTAGAGAAACGTCAGCACGTCAGAGCAGAGACTTAAAGACCCGTGTTACCTTGACAGGAACAAGTATCATGTCATACATACAAGGAATATTAAATCATGATATAGATCTTCTACTATTCACTCATTTAAAACTCTATGCTTATTCTAGACTCAAACTGTGGATTGGATCCAGATGACAGAAAGTCAACATCCAATATGTGTGTTTACCTTGGACATAATCTCTTAGATAGCTAAGAAACAATCAATGGTTTCCAAGTCTAATATATAAGTTGTACTTAAAACTTTACGAACTACAAGTGTCTCTCCCTTCAAATCTCCCACTAATATTCAGTGATAACCTTAGTATTATTCTCACAACCAATCCCATTTTATATTCTAGGACAATTGTTCATAAAAATTACATTGTTTGTTTTAATATAAATTTAGTATTTTTTGTTATACATGCTAAAGGTTTAGATTCAATGACATGAAGTACTTTTATATTGGCTTATGGATATAAAGAATAAAGAATGTTATAAAGATGAAATTGAATTTTTTTAAAACAAATAATTTTTCTTCTAGCTGGTTCACTTTTGAAGTTGTTTCGTCTATTTGCAACAAAGTTTAATTTATTATTTTAAAGATCTTTGATTTATTGAAAATACATAAATTAGAAGCATTTGAAGAACATTCTCTTATAATAATTAAATACTCAAAATTTTATAAAAATAAATTCTTCCTTGTAGTAAAGAGTTACATGCCCTCAAGATTGAAGAGCAAATAAAAATTTAATAAGCTTTTAAATATAAAATTAGTCTTAATGCACTTAGAAAAAAACTCTCTTTACCTTTTCAATTTTTAGGACATCATAAATTTTATTTTTTATTACAAACAAACTATCATTTCACTATTTACAATTTTAAAATTTATTAAAATAATTTTTAAAATAAGTAAAACGTTATTTTAATCTCTAATGTATATAATCATCGATTATTTTGATTTGATTGTGATTATTTCTAAAATTTATCAAAATAGTCATTTAACAAGTAAAATGTCATTTTAAATATTAAAACATATAATTATTAATCATTTAATCTTAAACAATACACAATTATTAATTGTTATAGTTTCTATTATTAATGTGACTTTGTTTTAATAAAATGTAATTTTTAGAAAAAATACTTTTTTATTATTTATTTAAAACTATTTTACTCTCTCTTCTAATAATATAATTAGTTAGTTGTATATAAACATTTTCTCCTTTATTAAGATAACATATCAATTTTATCAAATATATTTATTAATGTGCGTCACTAGTTGTTGCCTTTGTTTTTCTCGTTTGGTAGTGCTATAGAATTTAGTTTCAAAATATTGCAACTTTTATAATAGTTAGGTTTCATATCTACTGAGTTTGATATAAAGTGCTAAAAATAGGTTTAAATCTTTGTAACCTAACTACTGATGGGGCAAAAATAAGTTTTAATTGGTTTAGGAACTAATTTTACAAATTTTATACATAACAGCGACCACCATAGTTTACAAATTTTATGACTAAGCCTATTGAAACTTAAACCGCAATTTCATCCCAATCCCTAATCTCGAATTTCCTAATTTCGTTGAGTTCGAGTCACTGCATCTCTACCAACCCAAACCGAATCCCTCTTCATTTGTGCTCTCTCTTGGTACCCTTCATCTCGTTTGTATGCCTTTCGTTCGTTTCAATTTTCACTTTATGCTAATTAAATTTCTCTCTTTTATTTTCGGTAGCAGCAAGGAACTTCGATTTCTCGTCCTTGAGGTATTACGAGTTGCTCCTGAATCGTTCTTCATCTTCATCCATCCTGGTAATTGACTTGTTGGGGATCTTCATCTAATCCCTGATGTCTGGTTTGGATGCATACTTTGTGAACAATTTTGCGTGCCAAGTTGGTATGATTCATTTATAAAAGTTTCTCTTCTGATTTTGCAAGATGTGGGTGTTGTAAGCTTGCCCAACAACTATTTGTAGATATAAAGATAAAGCTTGTGTATATGAGCAGAATATTGAATTTGATGTTGAGTGACGACTAGGATAAAGAATACTGTCAAAGAAAGAATACATGGATTGGATGGTGATACTCTCACTATTTCTTGCTTCCATACTTGCCTTTTGTTGAACTAATACCTGCTGTAAGTATTTTAATCAGGGCAACCAAGCAAAAACACATCTCTTTCCTGTCATTTTTCCTGTAATCTTCAATTGTGCAAGATAAAAAATTTTCGTCTCCCATATCTCTTTGCAATCTGCATTATTATATATAGGCTACAAATGCAATTTTAACAAAATAGCAGTAGATTAGATTTAAATCCCAGGTAAAAAAATACAGCCAGTCCATTTACCAAGCCAGCAAATATATGTAGACTTGACAATGAACAAAGTAGCTCCTCGAATCAAAATCATATTTCCCTTGGTAGCAGATAAACAACTTCATAATTTAGCCATTTCTGGGTTGATTCAAAGTGGTTCTCCAAATGGGTTGAATCAGAGTGCAGGCCAATTTGTCCAGCCACTTCTGGGAACAATTGCTTTATCATCTTCTCAAGCTTTGCTACTTGATGGAAGGGAGCGAGAACAGACAAAAATGTGGGCTCTGAACTGTTAAATATCTTTTGTGAGAGACTAATAATATCTTGTCATTACCTATCAATTGTCACTTGCTTATGAGTGTGTTTGCCTTTGGCCTGTTAAATAGGCAAGATTCTAGCTTATAAGTTTGTTTGATCATTTGATAAACAAGCTTATTTCACTAGCTTGTACCTTTTAAGCTATATTATAAAGCTACTTTAGCTAGCCAGCTTATAGCTTATAATGTTGTAGCTTATTTTTTTCTTTCATTTTTACCCTTACTATTTTAAATACACTTCCTTTGTTACCCTCTTTTTTCCTTAATTGTTTTTACTTTGTCATCTCTTCTTGCACACCTCTCTCAAGCTCTCCCTTCTGTCTTGTTTTTCAACTCCTTATTTCATCTCTTTTGCCTTGCACCCACTTTTTTGAGTTATACTGCTTAAATTTGATTTGTAGTAAAATATATGATTTTCTAGTTTGCCAAATTTGCTCATATAGGAAGTATACACTTGATCAAACACCTCAACCAAAGTTCTCAACTTTGGATATAGGCCCAGTTTGGATAAACTTGAAAATAAAGCAGTAAAATGAATTAAACTTCTCCTAAAAGTTGAAATCAAATTATGCTCTTGACCTCTTTTAAGAAGTTCTTTCATTTAACTTTTTTAAATGTTAAGGTGTATCGTGCATGATATTTAACTTTTGAAATTTGATTTATTTTACTTCTCCATTTTTTCTCCTATAAATACTTATTGAGAAAGATATGATTCTTAGTCTCGTGAAAAGGGGTAGAGGGAGACATAGAAGAACTTTAGTAGGCTTTGTTTAGGAGTTTGGAGGGAGAGGAAGGAAACGGTTTGAAGGGGGAAAGAGGTTAAACTCCTCTCATGTTTGAATGTTCAATATTGAGAGAGGAGGATAATGGAGGGTTTAATTATATAAATGATATTATTATATTTTATATCTTTTATTTTTATTTTTAATCTTTTTCAAAAAATAAAAAATAAATATTTTTATTTCTCTATAAATTAATAATTTTTAAATTAATATTTTTATTTTTTATAAATTTTTAAAAAAATTCTCACTTGAAAAACTAAGATTTTTTTTTTTAAGTTAGAATCTTAATCATGAAAGAGTAAGAGAGGGTGGGAGAGAGAAAGCTCCCAGAATGAGAGAACTCAAAAAACTATCGTTTGTAGGGTATTGGAGGGTTTGAAAAAACCTCCAAATTCTTTCCTTTCTAATTAAGTAACTCCCAAACAAGGGTTAACCTCTCCTAACCCCTCTCTTCTCTTCCCCTCTCCTCCTAAACACAACTCTCAAACATAGCCTTAAAGGAAATTAATAAAAGAGATTTAATTATAAATAATATTTCAGAGATCTTGATTTTTAATCAAGCTCAATGATGTCATGTGGTTCATGTAGTTGATCTCACTTAGTGGGATAAGACTTGGTTATTGTTGTTTTTGTAAGTGTTGATTAATAAAGTTTATCTAAGATGGGCCGTAATAAAAAAAAAGGACATCTTTTTTTGGGACTACTAATGAGCCGCAATGGCATTATAAGACTATAGTTCATCCATCCAAATATTTATATGCAAATGACCTGGCTTTTGTTTCAATAATTTCAGTATGCATTTATATGTGTTGGATTTAATGGATGCTAATTTTATGCTGGCTGATGCTCTAATCATATATTTGATGCAATGAACGCTTGAAAGAGGCAACTCCAATGGGGGTTTGCACTTGTTGATTCCTATAAGGAGTGGGGCCATTCCCATTTTCCCCTTATGGGAAACCCCTTCATGACTCTGTTGCATGTGTCCTTAGAACTTGACTTTCAAGCACTGTGGGTTAAAGTTTTATTTTCCCATTTGAATTAATTGTGTGAGGAGACTTGTGCCTATTAACAGAGTTCACTATGACTTAAGTTTTTCCTTATATGTTGGATGAGTTATCTGGGCATGAGAGAAAATTATACCAAAGGTATTGATAAGTGATTACTGCCCAAAGAAGCCCATTATTTCTAGTGTATGAGAGAAGGGCCAAAAGGTGCGTTGCACTTGATCATGGCCAAGAGGGAGAAAGGAGCAACTGACTGCCTAGCAGTAGTGCATGGGAATAGGGGGAAAAGCAGCAATATAAGTGGAGAGAGGTGGGGGGAAAGGAAGCAGGTTGGGACTAGTTGAATTTGGGACCATTGGGAGAGTTTAGGTCTCCTGAAGTGACTAAGGAGAGTTTCTTTTATTGTTTTCATTTTGTTTTATACTGTAAGCAGCACTAATCTCAGGATTTGGACTTTAATTCTAGTCCTGAATACGTAAATAATACAGACATTCAGCCCTCATTTCTATCTGTAGTTGATACGTATCAATAAGTAAAGGAAACTTAGTGACTGAGAAAATGTACTTACATTATTGATCATTGAACATAGTTAACTGCTTCAACATAAGTAGAAAAAATAGAAAATGCTCTATTAAGTATAGGGTCCAAGGGTTAGAATTTAGCCTAGAGGACTGATCTTTATAAAGTAAATATTGGTTAAATTTTAGTAGTTTTGGAATTGACTAATTAGATTAGTTGTTATTGGTTTGATTAGAAATGAATTCAGATTCTGAACCAGTAAATATTTGAACCAATTTGCAGCAGAACCTAAATAAGGCAAAAACTGGTTTCTGAACCTGTTGAACTGTTTATGGGCTGAACTGGATCACAAACACTGACAGCACCAAAACTTGTTCAGAACCTTCAAAACCAGTTCACTGAATCAAAACCAGTTATTTAAACCAGAACCCCATTTGGTTTGTTTAAACCATATTTCTGTTTCACTTTTGTTTTTTGGACCAAACCATGATTAGAACCTAATCCCAATACTGAGGGATGTTAGAGGTTCAGGACATGATGAAAGAGTATTTGTGCCTTAGCAAGATTATCCTAATCTAGTTGTAGTGTTTTTCTTTTTGAAATGTTATTGGGGGATGGGGGAATATGCAACTTATTCTATGCCGTTACTATAAGCTACTTTATTTCTTCTCTTTGTTAATTTACTTTGTTGTTGGATATTAGGTATCCTCCATTCCTTGAAACTCCATTTGGTAATAGCAGAAAGAAATAGGGGATTGCTTGCCATCATCCAGAGTTTGATTGTTCTGCAAAGAAATGATAGTATTTGAGTTATTACATTTGGAAATTTGGTGGAATGCAGGTGTTCTATTAGCCAAACTTCTAGTTATTAAGATTAATAAACTTTTATCTTACTTGAAGAGCAAAATGTTGTCTTTATAGTACATAATTGATTAAATTGGTTGTTTAGACATCAAATGCCTGGTGGCTATTGCCCTCATTTTTGAAATTTTGCATCCAAGTTCTGTCTGAGTAAGGTCTGCTGATCCTTTTGTTAGCGTGATACAATGTTTATTTGGTTGGTTGTGACTTAGAAATTTGAATGATGCTCTTTCGCTTTGAAGAGTGTAGACAGATAAACATTGAGCGAAGAAAAGCTTATCATTTGAATAATAGTAGCGTACATGTGATTACAAAAGACAAGGTCTCTGAAGTAAATCCATGACTTAAATTTATCTGGCATCAACATAGTAATAATATTCCTTTTTTTCATTTTTTTATATATGAAACAAAAACTGTGATCAATCCCACGAGGTAGAGAAACAAGCATATTAAAAGAGGAAGGAAAAAAAAAAAGGTTTTGAAGGCCACTTCACTCAATTGGAAATCAGTAGATGACACCAATCCCCCACCTCAGAGTTGAGTCAACCTAACCTGAGAGTCATGGGCCCAAAAGTACTAAGCCCATTCCATTTTTGGTTGCAAGTCTTCTGAATGGGAAATATCTGAGTTGTGGTGTTCCATCAAATGATGCAAGTTAACTTTCTCTGCATAGCAGACCTACTCAGAATTTGCGCCCACAAGTAAATTGGGCTCTGCAACCTTAATAGTGCTATCAAAAAGGGCCAAAGCCTTGAGGCCAGCCCTACCCAACCCTATAATAATTTATTAAGCCCTATTTTAATATTAGTTAAAACAATTTAATTTGACCTTAAGTTATTTAGCTCATAATATATGGGGCCAGGGTAGGGTTACCCATGGGTTAGCCCTGACCCAGAAAATACTCCCAAATTTTGCCAACCCTAATCCCAATTTTCTAATCCCAATTTTTTTTAACATTCTCAATTATTTACGAAATTACACATTCTTTGCCTTTATACGTTCCTCCTTCTTCTCGTTAGAATTGATTTCTTCAGCTTTCGATGCAATCACTCACCGTCGTCTTCATCGAGGTTCCCTGCTTAGGTATCCTACGCTTCTATTTTATCTCAATCAGAATTCAATATTTCCTCTCTTGAATTTGACTTTGAATTCGATTGCAGAAACTGTTCCACATTCAGATTAGCTACACATTTCGCTTTTAATCCCTCCACCTTTAATCTTCTTCTTCCTCATCAACCACCCAGGTTTCAATTTTTTTCCTTACTTTTCTGTTTGCTTAAACATTTTTTTGTTCAAAGCGTGGTCTTATCTTGTTTTGAAGAATGTTAAAGTTCTCTTCTTTATGACATTAGCAAATAGCAATGCATGAAAAGAAAAGGTGGGAGTTTTAGGTTTTGCACAAAATTAAGGAAAGGCAGAAAAATTTCTCAGACTGTCAGTAATGTTTTAGCACTGGAGCTATTTTAATCTTTGTAATTATTTGTGAAAATATGAAATGGAAATAAAAAAATAATGTTTTCTCAAAGTGAACCCTGTATTGTCCTGAACCAAATGTGTTGTTGATTTGGGGAGTGATTATTATCACTCTTAAGTGTCTATAGCCACTCTTATTTAAATTTTTTTAAGATAAAATACACGTTATTAATATAGTATTATGGTTTGTTTGTTTGTTCCCCAGTAATGGTAGATCTTTGACCTTACCATCTTTATTGATATTACTTTGTTAGTTGAAAAATGTTTTAGAAAAGAGTTATATTTTTACTCTCACTCTTTGCTCAAAAGAGTAGCGGTACATGATACAATTGTGCTTTTTATGTCTTTTTGAATGCTATTAATGAGAAAGTTAGCATAGTGTTAATTGGATACTCAAATCAGCATAATTTGTTTGCTTTTAGCTGAGATTACAAAAATACCACTTTTCTTCAGTGCTGCTGAATTTCTGTTTCCGCCTAGTGAAGCTCATGGCTTGACATAAACATGCTACTCAACTACATAGCTTCTTTACATCAACCTGCGCTATGCATAATTGGTTATGATCTTCTATACTAATATGTTTCGGTCTTTTGCTTTTTGGTTGATATCAAATGATTGTTTAAATTTTTGTTGGATTCCTCTATTTTCCTTCCATCCATGCTTTTGTGGTTTTGGCAATCAAGAAATATTTATTGCAAACGTGATTTATTAGTCCAGAGCTTCCTGAAATTACTGTAATGTTTTTTATTATAAGAGTTGGTTTTTATTTGAATATGATGTGGATTGATGCAAATTTTCACTTGGCTTAGTGTTTGTATTTTATATGTGTTTGCATTTGCTATCTATCTTCATTGCTAAAAAAAAAATAAAAAATGCACTGTTGGGTCCAGAGTTGGTTTAGTAGGGTTAGTTGATCTTTGGTGGAAGTGGAATATGAGTAATGAATGGCTGCCAAATTTATGTTTTCTTTTGCCTTCTATCCCTGGCTCACAGGAGAAAAATTGACATTATAGTCGTAATAACACCACTTTTGATTATAACCTGTCTGAAGTTGGTTTTAGTGTTTGAATAAAGTCTTTTCCAATTATTAGTATCATCATACTTAGAGGGAGAAGATTAAGGGGATTCTTGGGTTTGGGCTTGTGTTCCTCTTTGTGAGAGAAATTAAGATTTTTCATGAGAAAAAAGAAATAATATGTAAAACGACATTATATATGTCAACTCAACCACTTTCTCATATATCACTTAACATAACATGTTAGCATTCTATGAATGTTTGTCAAAAGTGTCTGGGTCTAAAAACTAAAATGTCTAACAGATATGAAAGTAAAAGATTAATGTGACATTTTAAATATTTCAATGACTAAAATACACAATGCTAACTATGTCAGAGACAAAAACCGAGGATTTAGTCCATTTATTTTATTATCTTTACGTATATTAAATATATTATAAAATAAGAGTGTATCATTCTTTTATTATATCCTATTTTTATTCATCTATCTATCATATATTTTTTATATTAAGGTTAACTATTTTAACTTTCAAAAATATCATTTATGTTTCTTAAGGATTTTTTTTCCTTCTATTAATCTATCTTAAAAAACATGAAATGTACCTCAAATGCAAGAACGCAAAAAAAATCACCTTATTTATTTATCTATTACAGAAACCTACAAAAATTACTTATTAATTAAGATAGACATGACATTAACTACTACTACTAATAATAATTAATTTTTAAATTTATAAAATATTACATGTGATAAAAAATTATATATAATATTTTTTAATTAAAATTTAAAGATTTAATGTAATTTTATCCATTGATATTATTAACAATTAAGATTTATTGATATAAGGTGTCAAATTTATATATTTATATTATTTAATAACTTTTTATAAAATGTAATATTAATTAAATAAAATATAATATTATTTTATATTATTTTTATAGTTACATATATATTAAATTTTATATATTTAAAATTTTTGTAAGTACATTATTTAAATTTTAATATTTATTTATTTTATTTTTAAACTAATTATTGAATTAATTAAACTTATAATTATGTAAAAAATTATTAGATAATGTACATTAAATATATAGCATCAATAAATCATAATTTTATTATTAAACTAAAAATTTTAGTCAAAATATATTATATCTAACTTTTCATCATTATTAGTATTGTGCAAATTATAAATCTCCACTAAATATTGTTAAAATTTAATAAGAACTAACATAAAAATTGAGTTAAGACAATTTTTTATGAAATTATTTTTTTATTAAAATAAATAAATGATTCATATACAAATTATCATCATCATATTATTAAATTAATTATTATAATTTATTAAATAAAATATATATTTGCATTAACATGAACATAAACATTAAATTTTAATAATTTTATATTAAAATTATTTAATATATTATATAATATCCATTTTGTTAATTATTTCAGTTAACCAAATAAATGGTAACTTTATTGTCTTTATTTGTTCAGTTCATTGACGCGTGCGGTGCAGTTTTCGAAACATTGTAAGACACAGCTTGGGTCTTCAAACGGAAAACTAAAGCTCTATAGCATCGTCTTCTTCCACCGTTTAGTTAGGGTTCATTCGCTTTCAAGCCAAAACGACACGATACAGCAATAGCAATTGCAAAATCGAAGTTCCTTGAATTGATTGATAGCAGATTTGGGGTATGGCAAAAGCAAGAGACAGAACCGAAGATTTTAAAGATGCTGTGCGCCACAGTGCTCGTTCTTTGGGCTACGACGAGGTTTCACATTCACTTTTTTCTTCCTATTAATTCAGATCATGAGTTTTTAGATAGAAATTCCAACTAGGATTTGTATGTAAGTGAACGGGATCAACGTTATTCGAATTGGTCTGAACATTTTTTACAATTTGTAAACCTCATTGTGTTAATGATTATTTTGGCAGGCTAAGTTGGCATCAATTTTGGCTTCTTTCATTATTCATAAACCTCCGCAAAGGTCACCATTTACCAAAGCTGCATTGAAGACGGTAACGATCAACTTTCATATTCGTGTCCATTAAGCTACTGTTTTGTTTGTGCTGTGTGTTGAGTTGTGTTGTTTTAGTGAGAAAAAGGAAGCAATGTTACTTTGATGTAATGTATTTTGATAATAATTATCCTTTTTTCTTTAGTGTGACCTTGTGTCTTTGTTTATAGCTTGAGAGTATTGGAGAACTAGAACAGTTTTTGTTGAAGCATAGAAAGGACTACACGGATCTACATCGGACGACTGAACAGGAGAGAGATAGCATCGAGCATGAAGTAAGTTGCATGACTTTACCTGTACCATTAGTTTTCAAAAGTAGCAGTTATCTTTCTTGATAATTAAAAAATACTTATTGGTATTGCTATTGTTGTTAGATCAGATTGGTTCTTGGCAAAAGCTTGGAGTTTCACATATCAATTAATTTTGTTCTTGCTGCTGATATTAATGTTTTATGAATTTCTCGCTATAATGTAGTAGATAAGACTTAAATTTGTTTGCTTAGGCAGCCTTGCAATTTGGCATGTGAAGTCTTTTTCCTTTTAGATGTTATGCTATAGTTCTAGGGAGAGTAACAACCAATAGGAAGACATATTAGCAAGCAAGAAACAGATCCAGAAGCGACCGAAAGAGAGAAGAGATTAAGATATTTATGTCTATTGAGGAGGAAATGGAAGGACAAGGAAAGAACTCCTTCTCTAAGTATTGCCTCTGCACAAATGAATTCTAGGCTTGGTTCTCTCTTCGATAATCCCCTTCTGTACAATATATTCTCCTATTATTAACTATCATTTCAACAGTCTATCTGCTTGCTAGATCAGCATAACTAACTAACTTTCTTAAGTGCTGTATAACTTTTTATATACTCTGTAACTCACACATGCACCTTACAGATCCTCCAATAGGAGCCAAACACAAATTTTACAGAAAATGAATTACAGAAAGAGATTATTAATATTGCAGAAAATAGAAGATGAATGGTGTCAACAGTCACAGAGTTGTCCTGAAGAGCAAAGTTCTTAACAGAGAGATACTCTCCCTCCCACTATGGCAACAACCTTCTCTCAAAACTTTCCAATACCTCCCACTACATGATACATACAAAATATAATCAATTCACACTTCACACACCCCCAAGTCCCTCCGTCATAACCAACTCTGCACTTTCAACATGTGTGATTTTAACTCATCTTTGAGCTTTCTCTTGTAAACCTTCCATATCTTAGCTCCATATGACAATTGATTAATTGGTTCAAGACTTGGGTCCCTATCACTACCACCTCTTCATTATCCCGAAGACAAACATCAAAGTAGTTAAATCAGGATTCAAATTGTGAATTGTAAGACTTATTTTTTTAATCTATGTTTTGAATCGTGAATCGAATTGTATCTTGAATTGTAAGATTCAAGATTAATAATATAAAACATAAAAAAACATAAATATGAGAGTATTGTAACATAAAAAAACATCAATATATTAACATTTTGAAGTCAAATAGTATATAGCTAACAAATAATGCACGAGACAATAATGCAATAGAGAATAACATGAACCAGTGTGTATGGAGAAGAGGTATGCGCTGGAATGAGAAAACAAAGTTTTCTTTCAACATTAAAGAGTGGGTTGATGAGGCAATATTAGGTAGAAATTGGCATTTCTGCAAAAAAAAAAAAAGATTTATTAGGTTTTTTACTTAACCGGGTCGTGCCAACCCGACCCGTTTCGCACTTGAATTGTGCGCTGCCAAGGAGAATCGCGGTTCAGCAGCAATTCCTGTGATTTGCGACCTGATTCTGGATGCAAAACGATTCATCCCGTGATTTGTATCTCTATGTTACAGATTCATATTGCATTTTGTGTGATACTAACTACCATGATTAACTTGTTACTAGATTAATTATGGTTCTAGTTAGTTGGGTAATAATTTATGCCTTGACTGCTTGTGTTATTATCATTGAATCATACTGGTTTTCTCATTTTACTTCCATTCAGAGTGGTTCCAATAAATCAGTCAAAAGTTGGATTTTATACACTTTGGTTTTTTATCTGTTGTATGCGTTAATGCTCATTCACATTAATGCATAAATAGAACTTATTTTAAGCTTGTCAAACAATTTGGCTCAGTGAAACTTGTTTACTTTACTATATAATTTATATATTTAACTACTAATTAGATTTTGTCTCTTACTAGGCTGGCTATTAACACATTTTTCTGCCATTGACTTATCAACAGCTTCACCTACCAATTCATCATTTCTATTAGCATTCTGTCTGTATCAATCAGGCAGAATTATTTATCATCCATTAATTGTATACCATCCTTGAACAAGAGTTATACCAATGGCTTATGATTATTTTGTAATTAATTTGGTGCAGGTTAGTGTTTTTATTAAAACTTGCCAGGAACAAATTGATGTTCTTAAGAATAGTATAAATCAAGAAGTAGAAAATTCGAAAGGTTGGCTTGGCATTGCAACTGCAAAAGCTAATGTTGACACCATTGCCCACAAACATGGGGTGGTAAGGGCAACATTTTCTTCTAATCTTCTTGATGTTCAGTTATTATTTACTTACGTTAGTCATACAGTTGTATCATTTTCTAATGCTTTAAAAAGAAAATATTTTAGCTATTTGTCCAAGTTGGTCACAAAATACAAATCCCATATTTTTCTTCAATTTATTAGTGTTACTCTCACTGTTTCTCCACAAGACATGGGATAACAAGTGCACGCCCCCTCCCCCCAATGGCTGCTAGTTGTAAGACAATAATGATCCTTGATGCATGCACAGTCAATGCTTGATAATGTTATTCTATTGAACTCCTGAATACTAATACATCCATGAATTGAAATGGCTATTTACTTTTTCATATGCTAATGTTTATTTGCCTACTTTTTTAGGTTTTAATTTTAAGTGAGAGACTCCATTCAGTGACAGCACAGTTTGATCAGCTTAGAGCTGTACGCTTCCAGGATGCTATTAATAGAGTAATACCGCGTAGAAAACTTAACCGTGTGACCAGAAAAGATTCTGTAGAAACCTCTAAATCAGATGAATTGGAGCTCAAAGAACCTGATGAATTGCGCAGGGAGCCTCTAAGGGTCCAACAACTCTTGGATGATGAAACACGTGCCCTTCAGGTAAAAAAAATTGGTTCCCTTATGAGTTTGTGTAGGACTTATTCTGTCATTTTCTGTGATTTGTTTAATTGAAGACTTTTAGATTCTCACATCTAACCCTTTGCTATTGTTTCTTTTCTGTTAGGTGGAATTGTCTAGTCTTCTAGATACAGTTCAAGAAACTGAAACTAAGATGGTGGAAATGTCTGCACTAAATCACCTCATGTCTACACATGTTTTGCAACAAGCTCAGCAAATTGAGCATCTGTATGAGCAGGTTAAATAACATATATTCTTTCTCTCATTTTCTCCCTTTCTTTTTTTTTTTTTGTGTTCAAATTTTAAGGCCATTATCTGTCTGTTTATATATATATATATATCAAGTTGTCTATGGATCACAGCTGACCACATATTTGGGTTAGGTAACTACTTCATATGTATCTATGTGCCTAACCTGCCATCGATTTATAGTAAAGCTAGGTGGGTGAAACAGACAGGAAGAACGTAGGCAGAAGGGAAAGAGAATTAAAGTATAACAGGGAAAGGAAATAGATCATGTAGAGAGAAACATAACAGTGTACATGCTTCATCCCAAATTCAAGGTTATATGCAAAACTTAGTATTTAGAAATCTTAATTGCCATCTCACTTGATATCCCAATAATCTGTAATCCTAAATGACTATAACCCTGAAACAATTTTATTAAATACCCCCAAGAAGTAATAACCCCAACCAAAAAACTAAAAATCCCAAAATCACAATAAATAATCAGTATTTTTGTACACCTAATAATCCTAATATCCATATTCTGTGTATTAATATAGTAAGGGCATAATATTTTTCACATGGTTTGACTTTGCAGTGTTGTTAACTACAACACTGATTGTTTATTCTCCACTAAATGACTATAACCCAATATCTAGAAAGTTTATTCTCATAGGGGAAAAGAAAGGCACAAGGGGAGAGAATTAGTTATACTGCTGAGTATTTTGGATGATATCCTAGTGTATAGTAAGGATTGGCGTACACACTTGTTACCCCTTTATCAAGTACACTAGAGGTTGAAGGAAATTTGCTTTGTGGCTAATAAGAAAAGTATTTATTTGAAAGACAACAGATTTAGTCTTTTGGGTATGTCATTTTGGGTGTTAGAGTAGCAATTGATCCAAACAAGGTGAAAAGTGTAGTGGAATGGGCAATTCTTCCCAATGTTAAAGGAGTAAGGGGACTTTTAAGATTGAAAAGATATTATTGAAGTTCATTAAGGAATATGGGAGGTTAACCAAGCGTCCAACAGTACTGACCAAGAAGGAGGGATTTGATTGGGGTCCATAAGCTTTGCAAGCATTTGACGAATTAAAAATGGCTTTGGCACTTTGAGATTTCTCTCAACACTTTCAGAATAAGTGTGATGCTTTCATGGAACAGGATAGGAGATGTTAATTCAAGGAAGCGGGCCAATCACTTTTTTTTAGTTAAGCTTTGACTAATAGTAGCTTGTCCAAATCAGTATATTAAAAGGAGATAATAGCTCTTGTGTCAGCGGTGTAGCATTGAAGAGACTATCTTATAGGACAGAGCTCTCTGGTTTTCACAAACCAAGAAGGTCTTAAACACTTGTTACAGCAAAGGGTGGAAAACTGTGATCAACAATGTTGGGTTTAAAAACTCCTTGGCTTCTACTTTGAGGTGAGTTATGAATTGGGACCGAAAAATAAAGTAGCAAACTCTCTTGAAGTTATGACGAGAGAGATTTCAAGACACGAGTTTCTTTTCTTATTTGGGACCAAGGGAAGGAGACATGACTAGAAGTTATGGCTTATCCAATTTTAAAACAAATCATTAATGATTTGCAAGCAAACTCTAATTCCATACCTGGTTCCACAAGGGTATTCTACTCCACATGGGAAGATTGGTGATATCATCTTCAGACATGATTCCCTTTCTACTGAAAGGGTTTTTTTCTTTTTCTACGAGTGGACATTCTAGATTTTTGAGGCCATACAAGAAGATAGTAGTTGACCATTTACTGAAATATGCACGTTTTATAATCCTTAAACATTCATATAGAGTGCAGAGTGTGGGTGCTGTTTTGCAAGGGAAGTGGTGAGGCTATATGGAATCCAAAATCCATTCTTAGTGACTGAGATCCCTCTTTAGTTAGCAATTTTTAGCAGGAGCTGTTCAAACTTTAGGGAACCATGTTGATGTTGTCTTATCATCTAGAGACTAATGGCCAAACAGAGGTGGTTAATCAGTGTTTAGAGCCATATTTGCTATGCTTTGCCTTTGAATAGCCTAAGAGTTGGCCTGATTGGTTACCCTTGGTGGAGTTTTGATATAATACTACCTTTCATGTCACTATTGGTACAGCTACATTTGAAGTGTCGTATGAGAAGAAACCACCGACGGTGGGGCAATTCGTTAAGGGGAAAACTATGGTGGAGGCTGTGGCTTGAGAATTCCAAGAGAGGGATGAAACATTGAAACAATTGAAGCATAATACATTTTATATAGAGAAATATCCTTTTATATGAGGAGCTTAGACTCTCTTATCATTTCTTAATAATACATTTTATGCCAGTTCCTGGTGCTAGTGATCAAGATGCATTTCCAAAATCTAAGAAATATAATAGTGCATCTGCTGTCTCTTGCAGGCTGTTGAAGCTACTAAGAATGTTGAGCTTGGCAACAAAGAACTATCACAAGCCATTAGGCGGAATAGCAGCAGCAGGACATTTCTTTTACTCTTTCTCTTTGTGCTTACTTTTTCGATCATCTTCCTTGATTGGTACAGCTAAATGGTTTGCTTTGCCGCTACTAAGTGTATCTTCTTATAGACGTACTCTCTCCCCTCTCTCTTTCCTGTTGCTGTCGATATCTACTTCTTTTCCCTCTAGGAAGGCATCCTTTTTCTAGATGAGATATGTTTATTCGAGATGGAATTTTAGTAAACAATTTATAGAGTGACAAAAGGTAAAATATCATGCTTCACGTATGAAAATATCTATTATCATGTAAACCAAACACTTGGCACATATAAATTATTTCTCTTTAACAATTAATAAATATGAAAATATTTTCAATCTAAGTTGGGAAGTATCGATTGTCATTCTATTGATACTTTTCAATTAGGCTTATCATTGCATTCTGAAAATATCCTGAGGTAAAATATAATTTTCAAGGTTTTAGTCCCACCATCACTATGATATCTTATATTTTGCTGGTAGTGATGAGTTAGGCTTTTCATTAGAACAAAGCCGAAGAGCCCCGTGCCAATATATAGTGTCCCGATTACGTATCATTGAAGTTGAGTTCCAAAATTTTAATGTAAATGGACATGTTTAAATAATGAATCCACTTTAGGGATCCTCTCGAAGTCCATTCAATCCGATTAGGTTGATGAATGTTGCTTATTTACTTTATTAGAAATAGACGGAGATGGTCCATTCAACCGAGATAATAATCTGGATTTATTTATTTTATTAAAGATAATCTGGCCCTCAAGTCCATTAAGATGCAACTATTAATTTATTGTAAAGTAAGTTGACACTATATTACATTTAAACACTTTTTATAAAGGTAGTTAGATTTTTTTTTTATTTTTTTTGTGTGTATGAGGAATGAATATCTTCTCAGTTAAAGACTAATAATCCCTTCTGAATAAAAGAGATTACTAAAGTGAGTATAACATCTTTTATAATTCTTTTTTAAACATACAATTAAAAATAAACTTAAATTAACATGTTTAAAAGATCAAATTATCTATCGTATTAGCCTTTGTTGGCAAGCTAGGGCTTTTGTTTTACATAATTAGCTCAAAAGTAAAGTTATGGTTAAAAATTACTAAGAATTGTAAAATTGAGAAATAAAATTAAAAGTTAATAAACCAATTGAGAAGTATTTGAAAATTTTAACTAATCAACTTGCTAATATAGATAAAGAGTGAGGTTGGATAAATACTTATTTAAGTATTTAATAATATATTTTTAAATAATGACTTACATTATAAATTTAATGCAGAAATTTATTGAAATAAAATAAAAATAACTTATAAGTTATACTAAAAAAGGAGATTAATTAATTTTTTAATTTTTGTATTATAACATTAAACGATAAATAAGAAGAAAGAAGGAGAATTTCATTATATGATTTGGTCTAAATTCCGCACTAACAGTCCTAACTTCAGGAGTACCTGCCACTAAACTTGCACCTTGATTCTTATCAAATTTTTTGCTTCATATAACTTTTGAAGAAAATATCAAGTATATATGGTAGTTTTTCATGATGGGTGCCGGTTTAAAAATTGAATACTGATTCTCAAGCCTAGACTTTCAAGAATTATAATCTTTATATCTCCTTATTTTTAAAATATTAGTATTTAAATTTAGCCAAATTTAATATAAAAGTCATATTTAATTTACTCTTATTTATAATTTGTATTATTAATAATATAAACATATTCTTTCTAATCTTTATCTGTTTTTTGTTAATGATAATATTTCTATTTTGCTTGTATTTTATTTTCATTTATATTTTAAACTTCACTAAAATTTAAAATATTTTTTTCAACATGCAATAAACTTGTACTTGTTAGATATTTAAAATTTTTCACAAAATTATACTCTATAATGTATTTTATTTATAATAGACAAATTTATTAAATTGACACAACAAATTACGTTATAACAATTAAGGATAAATATTCTTATCAAAACTGACGATGAAATTTGTGAGATATTACATTAAATTACAAATTAATTTAAGAAAATTAAAATGGATCCACAATAATATCATTTTTAATTTTATTTATCTGCGTATAAATATAGCATCATGATTTAAATTATCCCCTGTAGTTTTGTATTTTTATATAGTAGATTCTAACACTAACATGATTGAAACAGATTAGAAGTTTAGAACTGATGGTAAGACTAAAATGCATAGTTCACAATCAACGATTTTCTTTTATCATTCAACATAAATTTTTACAGAGTTAGAAAATAAAGCCATATTTGTTTACAGGATTTAGATAGATTCAAGGATAATTGTTATGATGAAACCAGTGATTTTTTTAAAAATATTTCACAATTATTAGTAAATTAAAATATTTTTATAAAATTTTAAATATATTATATTGTATAATTCTTAAATTTAATAAATTATTAAAATAAATATTTTATTACTAATAAAAAATACTTTATCATATTAAATAAGACAATTAAAGGAATAAAATTTTTAAATTAAGAATTAAATTATAAAAAATTAAATTTAAATATAATTTAAATTAAAAAGATTAAATGTCGAATTAAAAAAGTCACATGATACAATAAAAAAATATCTTGTAAAAATACTTCTGTTTAAAAATAAGAATTCATAATTAGTATATAAAGATAGATAAGTGGTAGGGATTATTTATCGATTCAAAAACTAATAATTTTTAAATAGAAAAATTAGCAGTGATCAAATCGAATCATTCTGACAACATAATACAACCTTCAACATTTTTATAAAGATCATACAGTACAAAGTAAAGTTGGACAAAAAATTGATTGATGAGAATCAAACAGTTGAAAGTGAATCATGACCATTTATATTTATATACTTGGAGGTTGAACTTCAACTCTTTTCAATATTAAATTGAAGTACGCTTGAATGTGCTAATTAACATTTTTAAAAATCTTATAAAAATGAATTTACCGCCATAAATTCATTCTTCAAACGAGTAATAAAGAACAAATCAAGATTTTGCTAACCTTTTTGAGCTCTTGAAACATCTTGGTACATCTCACTGCATTGATTATTGTCACCACAAATTTTCCCCATCACATTGTGTACAAAGTTGAAGTAGGCATGCCTCAAGAACGCACAAATAACAAGGAGCCAAATACCCCGCAAAACCCAACAAAAAACCCTAAACCCATGCTTAAGTAAAATCCTTGGGTGAAAAATAAGTCTTCATGATGCTCTTCATTAACCATTGGATCCTCAATTTCCTCAACACAGAGTTTTTCAAGTGGCTTGCCACAAAGATAAACATTGCCTTCATAAGCAGCTGCATCAAAACTTTGTAACTGTGTTCCCAATGGAATTTGTCCTGACAAATTATTATTTGACAAGTTCAAAACACTAAGCATACTGATTTCACATAGACTTGAAGGAATTGTTCCTGATAAATGATTTTTTGATAAATCAAGAAAATCCAAGGAATGTAAGTTGCCAATTTGTGATGGAATTTCGCCACTCAAATTATTGAATGATAAATCCAAAGATCTTAGCTCTGTGAGATTACCAATCTCAATTGGTACTTTTCCACATAGTTGATTGCTTGATAGATCAATCAAATTCAAGAGTCCCTTATTGTCATTAAACAGTAGTTCTTTACCTTTCCAGGTTACTAGAGGAAAAAACTCATACGTCACAAAATAACGTATGGTACCATCGGCATTAAAGATGTAGTATTCATCTATGGCCCTTTTGATGCCACGTTCCATAGTCATTGAAGAGAAATTTTTCACACAATTTGGTATTTCTCCAAATAAATTGTTATGTGAAAGATCTAACACTTGAAGGGTAGTTAGATGACAAATAGACATTGGTAAATTTCCATAGAAGAGATTCTTTCTCAAGCTAAGAACTTGTAATTGTTGTAAGTGGGAACCTATCCATGATGGTATGGGTCCTGATAAGTCATTTTCTCCCACTTCAAACAATACTAATTCAATGCAATTTTTAAAGGAGGGAAGATTGCCCATTAATTGATTATTGCGTAAAATCAAAAGGTGGATTCGATCTAAGGATTCCATAGACTTTGGAATATTGCCCCAAAATGCATTATTACCTAAATTAAGAACCCTTAAAAATTTCAAATGGCTCCAACAATTAGGAATTTGTCCTGCAAAATGGTTATATGAGATATTTAAAAAGTGGAGGCTTTCATTAGCTACACACAAAAATGAACCCATTGTGGTAGTGTCCGAAAGCCCAGCATTTGACATATCAAGACTTATAAGGCTCTTTTGAGTTTGAAGCCATTTGGGAAAGGTGGGACCCACCTTGCAAGATTGCAACTTCAGCACTTCTAGTTGAAATTTTGGAATCCATTTGTCATCAAATTTCATTGTGAGTGAATTCTGAGATAAGATCAATACCAATAATTTGGTGAGATTGGCAAATTGGGTCTCAGTTATCATGCCTTCCAATGAATTCTCTCTCATGTCCAAATGTCTCAACTGTGACAATAATCCAAAACTTTTTGGTATTGTTCCATTCAACTGATTATAGGAGAGATCAAGATATTCAAGAGATTTCATTATGCTCCCAAAGTCATGTGGAATAGAACATTTCAGAAGGTTTTGTCTAAGTCGAACATCAATAAGATTATTAGAGCTTAAATTGAAAAGCCAAGTGAATATAGATGATGAGAACTTGTTGCGGGATAGATCCAAAATATGAAGAGATGTAGAGAAATTTAGTCGATTAGGTGACAAGGGAAGAATATCAATATCTAAAAGATTACAATTTGAAATAGATAAATGTTCTAGTTTTGGTTGCTGAAAAACCATTTGCAACAATTTTTTGGACTTATTTAGGCCAATCACATTGCCAAAGTCAAGTCTTACAAGTGAAGAAAGATGAGAAATCCAGTCAGCATTCATGTCAATAATGACATTGTCATTATTTCCAAGAACTAGAACTTCTAAGGATGAGAGATTTCCTAGCTGACAAGGAATCATCCCACCTAGCTTGTTATAACTAAGATCAAGTTGCTCCAAGCTTGAAAGATTCCCCAGTTGGTAAGGAATTTCTCCAACAAGATAGTTACTAAAGAGATAGAGAATCTGCAATCTTGATAGCATCCCCAATTGATATGGGATTTTTCCACCAAAGAATCCATGAGAGAGATCAAGATATCTTAAGTTCACCAAAGAACCAAAAAATTCTGGGATTTCATTCCCATGAAAATCATTCAAGCTGAGGTCTAAATAATTTAAATGATACAAGTCTGTCATACATGCTTTAATCTCACCTCTTAAAGGTTGGTCCCCTTCATAATCACGAAGATCAAGCTTTTGAACATGCCCAGTTTGGTTGTTGCACAAAATTCCACTCCATTGGCAACAATCTTCATCTTTGCCCCATGATGATAAACGACCATAGTCATCCACCAAGCTTTGCTTAAACTCCAGAAGTGCTCTTCTTTCTTTCTCTATGCAGCTTACGTTTGCATCCATGTTTTTCCAACTAGATGCAAGCCTAAGAAATTCGACTTGCAAAATCATCACAAGGAAAATGGTTTCAAGGAGTTTGGAACAATTTGAATTCATTGTGATCATACTGATTGAAAATGTTTGATAGAAAAACAATGACTAATGTACAAGCTTTAGGCTTTTAATATTAGTTCCATTATTTGAATATAAAATATTTGATACTGTATATAATGTTATATATTATTTTTATTTTTTATTTTTTCATTCATATTCATGAAAAATATACACCCAAAAATTGGAAAAAAAAAGTATTGTCTTATTTTAGTATTTATAAAACATATTTCTTTCAATATATAACTACTAATTTAGTAACCCATGAAATGCATCAAATTTTATTTTAGAACAAATATAATCTATTTTAAAATAATACTTTTTATTCTATAGTGTAAAAAAATTAATTAAATATCAATAATTAATATATATTAATAAACATAAATTTAAGAGATAAGACTTTTAAAAGTAATTTCCAAATTTAAGAAATAAAAAATTAAGATGATATTTTATAAATGTAAAATAGGTATTCACATAAAATTAAAATAATAAAATAAAGTTAAATATGTTATGTAATAAATATAAAATTATAAGGAGCAAGTGAGAAAATAGATAGAACAATATATAGAGAAAAAAAAAGAATCTCAATTTCATTTCACATATATCATAAATACAAATGAGATACTTATTTATAGGCTTAAATCTATAATCGAAGAATCGTATATCTTTGAATGAGAATTAAATAAAACGGTTACAAATTACAAAGAATAAGGAGGAATTATGAATATAGACATTGACTCATATAATAATTCATAATACTCTCCCTTGAATGTTTATTATTTGAGAATATGTTTTATAACATCTAACTAGGAAAAATCTAATGGGATAAAAACCTAGTGAAAAGAAAAATATATTATTATTTAATACGCTATTATATGTTGCCTCATTAAAAACTTTGACAGGAAAACCCAATGAGAAAAAATTATAGCTAAAGAAAAAAGAGTGCAAAGCGTATTTAATTCTTCCCCTCATATGGACAATCATTTCTAAGACGACGAAATCTAATCTTGTGAACTAGTTGTTCAAAAATTTTACTTGAAAGTGACTTTGTGAAAATATTTGCTAGATTCTCACATGAACGAACTTGTTGAATATTTATATCACTATTCGTTTGAAGATCATTGCCTTCATAAGCAACTGCATCAAAACTTTGTAACTGTGTTCCCAATGAAATTTGTCCTGACAAATTATTATTTGACAAGTTAAAAACACTAAGCATACTGATTTCATATAGACTTGAAGGAATTGTTCCTGATAAATGATTTTTGATAAATCAAGAAAATCCAAGGAACGAAATTTTCTTGATTCTGGGAATGAAGCAATGCTAATGATTTAATTTTTAATAGTAAAATATTGTAATAACTAAAACTAATTTCTGACTAAATTATTAATAAACAAAATTTTATTTAGGATTTTTAGAAAAAATCAGATTGTATTTTATAGTGTTAAAATCTTCATTCTTTTGATGTAATTTTAAAAAAAATAATGTCTTTTCATTTGGTGTTGGTGATGACGTGTATGCTATAATATATAAATAGTGCAATAAATTTAAAAAAATTTGACAAAATTAAGTTAATAGTCGTTAATTTTTATTTAATTTCATTTTCATCTTTTAATTGTTCAACGTCTACCAACTTGGTCATTTTTTGTCGATTTAGTTCAACTCGATTAATGATGATATAAGTGATTTCATATTTGACTTAATGCTGTTTTATTTTAATTTTTTAACTTTTAAAAATACAATAAAATCGTTTTTTAACTAACCTTTTTTTATTAGAAAAGTTTCAATGTTGTACTATCATAGGTTAAAGCATAAATATCAAGTATACTTATTAAAACTGTACATTAATTTTAAAAATAAAAACAAATACTCATTGAAAAATTAAATTATTTTTAAAAATATAAATACATTTTTACTTAATACAATAATATTTTTTATTTTTATTTTAACATAAAAAAAATAATAATAAACAATCAATTTGTTAGACATTTATTAAAAATAAAATAAAATAATGTCAAATTAAATATGAAGTCTATTAATACCGTAATTAACAAAATTAAATAAAATTGACCAAAGAACTAGTTTATTAAATGTTCAAAAAGTTAGATGATTAGAATTAAATAAATAATTTTTTAAAATAACTAATAAAAAAATCACATGAATTATGACAAGTTTTTTCAACTATCACTATTATCAATTTTATATTTATGTTTTTATACATTAAATTAAAATAATAATGTCGAACCAATGAGGCTAATTATTAATTATCAGAGCATATGAATCAACTAATATAATATTATTTTATTTTAATATGTAGTCTCAAATGTAATTTAGAAAAAAAAAGGACTAATTATCAAGCAACGCCTTATTTATTTTTGTTGAAATTTTAAATGAGAATATCATATTAAAAAATTAATAACGTAATATTAAAATTTTAACAATAAATATATTACTGTTCATAATATTTAATTAATAAAAGTATTTAAATGATTTAGAAACATAAATAATATTATAATAAAAATAATTTCATAAATATTTATTTATTTGAATAAAATTTAAATTATATTTTATTAATTATTTTCTAAATAATTTTTTATTATTATATTTCTCAATTTGATATTTAATTTTTAATTAAATATCATTAAAATAATGTATTTATTAATTAATTTGTCATATTATGTCATTAATATTTTAATAATGTAGTTATTAGTTATCAATCAAAACTACATTGTATTTAATTTCTTTTGACGATCAATGAAAATCCAACTTATTTTACTCAAACGGTCATTTCGTAGTGGAAAAAATGGACGCTACTTTGACAATTATATTGAATTCTGTTTACGTTGTAAATAATTTAAAATGTATATTAGCCAATCAAAATTACACTACAAAATTAATAAAAATTAGTACAAGTAATAAGAAGTTTAGTATCATTTAATGAAGTCTCGAGTTTACTGTGTATGTAAAAAATTAGTTCAAATTTTTGTGTATAAAAAAAATCTTTAGTAATAGATTGTTCACCATATTTAAGAATGTAATTTAAATGAGATTCAAATTAAATCTTTCGAGAAACCAAAAAATAAAAATTACACCACAAAAATTCAGTCAATCACATTGGATGGATAAAGTCCTGTGAATTGGCAAATGCCAGCAAGGTATTGTGTACATACCATTCAGTTTTATTCAAATTACTAAAGAATATATTATATAAGCTTTATAATAATTGTTTTTATTTTTTATATATTTTTAAAATAAAGGAAACATTTTTAAAATACCGTTATAAAAAGTAAGATTTTTTTTATCATCCTTCTTTTTAATCGCATTACTTTTTTTTATATTCTAAAATATATTAATCACTTTAGAATTTTAAATTATTAAAAATTATAAAATAAAAAATTATTAACTCCATCTCTTAAAATTAAGTTTAAGAATTTAATAATAATAATATTTAGGAAAAGCATATACTTTAGTTTTTGTTTATTTAATACAATAAATATTTTATTTTTCTAACAAAATCATATTATATTTTTATTAAATATATAGAGAAAGAATTTTTCTGTAAAAAAAATTATATTTAGATACTTAAATTTAATCATAAAAACTGAAGGTTAACAAATACGTAAAAAATATATTAAATTAGAAACATAATTTTTCATAACTGTCATTATCTGTACTAAGATGATTAGAATTTAGAAGTTTTGGTGGGTCAATTTAGGAGTCATCGTTTAGAAAATAAATATGCTTTGGAGAAAAATGTTCAGCCTCAATGTTTTTAATTGAAACCAGTCTTCAAGTATTCTGACATGTCGAGATCCAAAGTAATTACAAATTGTATAAATCAAATTTTATATTACTTTTTTTTATTAAAATGGAATAAAAATTGAATTTTTTATTTGAAAACATTTTTATTTAAATATAATAATTAGATATTCTTCTTAAAACAAAAATACAATTTTATTATAGAGGTGGAAGTCAACTTGGGTTAGCCTCCATACTTAGTCAACTTAATTTAACTCGAAAATAATTTAATAGTTATATTTATCAATTCGAATCGATTTTAAAAATGTTAAACTCAATTAACATCAAGTCAAATATTGGATTGAGAATAATTCTACTAAATCAACTGAAATATAACCTGCTTTAGCGGCTGATATATAGGCAGAATTTAAGGGGCCTAAGATTTCTGTGGCAAATTAGGAATTGATTTGTTTCTTTTAATAATACATTAAGACTTGTTGGATGAGTCTGCAGTGTAGGATCAATTGAAAGGGATGATAAAAAATGAATATATAATAAAAGTTATGTAAGTGTGCGTTTTAAAAATGCCTAAATGAAAGAAATGTAAAAATTCAAACACTTAAAAAGAAGTTACCATAGAGGCAAGATAAAATAGGCCCAATTTTGAAATGGCTTTTGTTTGGGTTTTTATGTTTTTGACTTATCTTTAAAAAGGACTAAAGAGAGTATCCTAAAACATCGATTTGCTTGTACCTATGGTTAGCAAATAATAAATTATTCACGTATGGTATTGACACAAAAAGAATGTATCATAAACCATGAATCACTAATTCGCACGAGCATTTCAATCTAATAGTGTGATGCAGAGGTTTTTTAACAGACTTAATAAAAAAAATAAGATAAATTAAAACCAAGTTTATTAGCATAAGATGATAATATCAGTGGTGAACATAATTAAAAATGATAAATATCACAAAATTGAATTAACCACTGTTTTCAACATAATTTTTTATTTTATCTCATTCTTCCTTATATATTATATTACTAATCACATCTTTTACTTCTCTATGGACCACCGGTGCATTTTTTTTCATAAATTATAAAATTTAACACTTGGCGTATTCCCGCCACTCAATAATTTGTTTTCTTTTCTGTCATATCTCTCATCAAGTATACACAACTCTAACTCATGGCTGCATTCCAATCATTTTCCGAATTTGATTAATAAAAAGTTCTTTTAAGGGCCATTTCACAATCTCTGGAGTCAGTAGCCGAACAAATTGCAACCACTACTGTCACCAAGCACTGCTAGATTTGTGCTGTTCGTGTGCAGGTTGGAAAACCTCACGTGGCAGTTCAGCGTGAAGTTGATTACAATGAGTTATGGCAAACTAAAACTTTCAACTTTAACCACTTGCTATATCAATATTGAAAAAGATAATCAAAGAATGATTCTTCTTGTCTCAAATGTATTGAGGGTACATCAGAACACACAAAGTTATGGCTTGGTGTTCTAACTAAATTTAAACACCCTGATTACAGATGAACCATCCTTGAGGTTCATCAATCATTATGAACGAAGCTTTCTCAATAACCATTTCTTTCTCAAAGAGGCGTCCAGGGCCAGAAATATCCTTGCTCTTCTCTCATCTTCCAAAAAATCACAGGCATCTAATATAAGATCATCATCCATGTCTGGTATAGCCTGGAGCTCGCTGATAACATAATCTACAGAAAAAGTATCTTCTTTCTTTGCTTTCTTGTTTAGTGTAGTAACTGCAACGGCCATATGCTTCAGAGCAACTGCCATGCCCTCATTGTGGTTTATTGTCTTCTTAGACTCATTGAAGGTTGTGGGCATTTTTGGTTGATGCCTTTTTCGTGAACCAGAAACATTTTTTCCAACGTGAAGTGATGCTTCATTATCTGCATTGGCGAGAGGCTGAGTTTCTCTGGCAAAATTATTTTCGCCACCTATATGAAATGCTCCTTTATCTGCTTTAGGGAGTAGCTGAGTATCTGGGACAGTGTTATTGCCCCCAGAAGAACCCTTTTCAAGATTTGAATTGCAACCCACAGTAGCTTCATTGCGACATATGATGCACATGCCAGAATAAAAAGGCATGCTTTTGATTCTATAAAGCCGGAAGTTGTGATGCACCTGCAATCATGATTAGTGGTAGTAGAAAATACAAAAACTATCAAAAAGAAAAATAAAAATGATCAAGAACACCTCATACCCTGATGCATTTTTGCCATACTTGGTCATCAGCCAAAACCTTGTGTTGTGTCTTATCCCAACTAAAACCTTCTTTGCCAAGGAGAACATTTATGGAGCAGTAATGCCTCCTCAGGACATTGAAACGGTTTTTCAAGACAACTTTACTGTAATTGCGTCCAAATCTATCATTAAATGATTCTGTCATGTCTAACCATGCTTTCTTCTTAAATGAACGGCCAGTCTTGTTCCCTTTACACAACTGGTCCAGCAGAAGTTCAACAAAAAAATGGTCCATCATTGGAGACCAGTCAATTTTACTTTGATTACTAACAGCAAGGGGGTTCTGATCATCCACTCCTTTACTGGTGGTACACGGGTCATCTAATTCTTTTGAAGCAATTTCTGAGGGAAAAAAAATCAAAATAGTCCAAACTTGAGGAAAATACCTACGGCGAATGATTACATCTGGTAAAGAAAATTAAAAGGGAATTCTACTTTCAAGTTTCAACCATACAAGAACATTTATAGATCTACCTTCATTTTCAAAATCTACATCAAAACATGAAAGACTGTATCTCCCGTCGGCAACTGCATGGCCAAAAATTATGCACAGATCATTATAATATGGAACACCTCTTGTTTTGAAAGCTTGCGCATCAGGGTAGACCTGCATGAAGAAAAGCACACTAATTGCAAAGCAAAGTAAATATTCATTTATGCTTTTGAAATATTTGATGACTGTATGTACCTTAATACACTCATCCCATTTTTTATCATCAGCTATAATCATGTTTAATAATTCATCCCACTGAAATCCCTTTTGACTAACAATCATTTTTATATCATTGTATTGCTTCCTGAATCTCTTGTGACGGTTCTTCAACACATCTAAATCATACTTGAACCCAAATTTAGTGTTAAATTGTTCAATCATGTCCGCCCAGGCTTTTCTGCTAAACACCTTCCCAGTTTTATTCCGTTTGTGAACATAGGACCGCAAAAGCTCAAGAAAATATTGATCTTGAGATGGAGTCCAGTTGGCCCTCAAGGTGTCCAAACTAACAGACAGATCATCCCCCATTTCATTACCTGAGAGTCAAATGGATTAGTTTCTAAGAAGCAATGACCTATCCCCAATCTTTGGGCACTTAAACACAGATAAACACACAGAGACACCAAATAATAACAATGAGAACAATATCAACAACTACAAAAATCAAAGGAACACTGTAAGGACCACTTGAATATTAAAATCTACCCTCAACCAGGCACTACCTGAAACCTGATCTTTTCACCAACACAATACAATAATAACAACAACCAAGTCTTATCCTACTAGATAAGGTTGGCTATATGAATAACATAACACTATAAAGCTCGATCAAAAATTAAATTTTTAAAAATTTAGTTAATCAAAATGTCTCTTTTAATAATTTTATCTAAGTTTTTTTTTTCCCTTTCTCAACTCTTTTACTAGATTAAGAGTCATGCAATTCACTCTATTGACTAGTGTTTTCAAAAGTCTTCTTTGCACATGACCAAACCACATTAGACAATTTTCAGTCTTTGTTTTTGCAATAGATGTTATTCTAATATTCCCATATATTATAATTCCATATCCTATCCTTTTCCATTTGTCCACTCATCTATTTTAACTTTCTCATTTCTATTACTCTCACTTCTTCTCGTGCTGTTCCTTTAAGACAACATTTATTACCATACAAGATAATTAATCATATTATAGTACGGTAAAATTTTCCTTTCAGTTTGATAGATACTTTACGGTCACAAATAACTCCTAATGTCTTTCTCTACTTTAATCACCTAACTTATATTCTGAGTAAAATATTCATTTCTCCATCACTCTATATAATTGATCCTAAGTATCTGAATCTAGAAACTTATGATATAATATCATCTTCAATTTTAACTTCCAACGCATGATCCTAATTTTGTTTTTTGCTGAACTTACAATACATACACTGTCTCACTGCTACTCAAGCGAAAATCCTTAAATTTTAAAGTCTATCTTCATAACTCAAGTTTAGCATTGACTTTTTCTTACAAATCCTCAACCAACACTACATCATCTACAAAGAGCATGCACTGAGGAATAATATTTTGTATGTCATTTGTAAGCATATCTAAGATTAGATTAAACAAGTAAGAACTCAAAACAGAGTCTTGATATAAACCTATTCTTGTTGGGAAATCCTTAGACATGCTCTCTGAAGTTCTCACACATGTAGTTACTTTATCATACATGTCTTATATAGCCAACATGTTACACAATAATTTCTACTACATTTTCAATACATGTAGCTAAAGTAATAATGAATGCTTACTAATTCTTGCTAGCATGGTGCTACAAATGCCAAACAAACTATCTCGGACAACCTGATCATATACAACATTTAATTTCATAAATAATATCCAATATGCAATATCTCTCACACACAATAAGTTGCAGATATCGCAGAAGTAAGCTACAAATTGCTAAGTTTTCATTCTACTTCCTAATTAGTCCCTTAAGCTTAAACATGTAATTGCTGATTGTTAATACATAAATATATGTAGTCGCAAAAATGACAGCCTTTCCCATAACAGTTGGCTCAATGGCTAAAATTAACTTTTCTATTAAAAGTAGAAGCCTAAGAGAAGAGATGGCTTCAAGGTCAAGACATACTGTATAAGCTTAAATGGCTAAGAGTGGGAATCACATCGAAGACCTTTTTCTGTAGACCTTGTTTGATTCTGCCGGTTGAGGCCAGTTGACCCAACCCTCAACTGGTAGAACCAATCTGCAAGTTCACAAGGTTAGTAAAACCATGAAGACACCACAGCTTGCTCTGAATTGATTGAGAGCTCAATACTAGGATCACACTATCACAATGACCTTAACTCAGTGTCCTAGCTCTGGAATATCATGTGCAATGCTACATATAGAAAAAAAACTCATGAAGAGAGAGGAGGTTCTAAGTTGTCACTTAATTCCAATTCGTCACGTTCAAATGGATCCAACTCATCATATACATGTCTATAGTGAATAGAAGTGTTAATATACAAATGAGGTCCTTAAAGAGACAACTAACTTGTGCTAGTTTGTTTATACAAATGTCCCCTTAAATGTCAACTCCCTAACAGAAATACTCTACTAAGTTGTCAACTTTTAGATAATTTGATCCCTCAAATAACTAATTTTGATCAGCTTCAAGAACTAAACAAACAAGATGCCACTTTAACCAACCAATTCTACACTAGCTCTAAAACAAAACAAAAACATTAAAAACCCAAAATAAAAATAAGAGCTTTAAAGTTCAAGAGGGTTTATTTCCTCTTCTTGTATGGTATTCAATCTCATTGCAACAATTCATCAACCCTAACTCCTTCCTTCCATGAGAAATCATCACTCTCCTCAAGAGTTCAGATTGAAATTTTATTCCTCTTACACTGAAAAGAATGAATTTTTAGCAGTCAATCCAGGAACAAAGACCAGAGGGTCATTCAACAAACCATCAATTTCGATCTCCCAACCAATTTCACCAAATGGAACATTGGGGAAGGTAATAATGAGTGAACCCTAATTCTGTGTTTGGATGCTGAGCATAAAAAACAAACAAAAAGAAACGAAAATGGGACTTACCAAAGAGCAAATACAAACAGCGGGCGTAGAATAGCAGCGAACCAAGCAAGTGTTTGATTTAGCAACGAATAGTTTAAAAGGACGATGAAGCTTTGTAGTGCGAGGGGTCTGATATGACCTCGAACAAAAAATGGAATAGAGTTATTCTTAAACCGGATACAGAAAACTCAAAAGATTTTGTTCTGTTGTACTTCATCTGCAAGACATTATTTTTGAGTATATATATAGCTATCAGTCGAATATTTAATATATTTAAATTTAAAATTATTCATTAAATTAAATAATTTTATATAATTTGGTGTATAATATATAAATTTCTCATTTAAATTTTTTTCTTAATTACTTATTTGATTTTATATCATTTCTACTTACCTTGATCAAAAATAGAAAAAAATATTAACAATATATTCTTTAATACATTTTTAAAATATTTTAAATTATTTATTAAAATTTATCAAAAATTATAAAGATAAAAAATATTAATTTAAAAATAAAAAAGAGTGAAATTCACATAAGTTTTAATTAGTAATTAAAATGTATTATTTGTATTTTTCACAAAAGTTAAACACATGAGACTTGTTTATACATTTAAAAAAATTATATTCATAAAAAAAATATAAACCTTTTGTTTGTTATATGGTTAAATTAAATTAAAATATAAAATTTTAAACCATAAATTATATAAATATTAAAAAAATAATTATCACCAACAAATTTAATGAATCATTAAGAATATAATTCTCATAAAAATTTATTTTAACACGATAAATTACAACACAGTAAAAAATAATAATAATTACTGGATACTTTTATATGAATATTTAGTATGGCCTTTCCATGTGAAAACTTCTAGCATGATGTTAAACCTTCGGTAATGAAATTTATAAAATGTAAGTAATTTAAAGTTGTTTTTACTTTGAAAATGTGGTTAAAGTTAAAAAAGAAGAAGAAGAAACAAACCAATTATTTAAAAAATATCACTTATTTATTAAATTATTTATTTTTAAATCATGAATCTTTAACTGATGACAAATTAAAAAAAACATTTTTCATATATTTAATATTAATATTTCATTGGATAATCAATTTTCATTTACTTGTTTAAATTTATTTGATATGATTAACAAGGTTGAATAATGCACAAAAAATAAGAAATAAAAAAAAATTATTGTAAAATTTAAATAATAACAAATAAGAAAAAGATTCATAAAATAAATATTTTATAAATTACAACTTTCAAAAGCACATCTAAAAGAAATTGTATATAACTACATTTTTTTTTTTTTCTTAACCTATTGTGTTGGAACACACGAGAGAGAGCAGTAAAATATAGAGAATATTTCTTTCAATAAATTATGAGCAAATTATACAACTAAATTTGGATCTCACATCTAACTTAAAACTTTAAGGTATTATTTTATAAGTTATTACTTTTTCAATTGTTGTTACTTCAACACTTTCGCTACTCCTTGCTTCACAACTTTCATTGTTATATTTTGTTTTCTTCTACGTTATACTATTATTAGTTTTTAAAAAATATAAGTTCTTCAAATTTCTTTTGCCCAATGATTTTTGCACAAAGTTGTATTGCCATTTTTTACTTTATTTTTTCTTCTACTTGTGTTAGATGACTAATGCTAAAGTAAAAGATAATTTAAAATGAATAAAATAATTAAGTATCTTAAAGATTTTGTCATATATATAATTCTTCGAATTATAATGACTATGTATTAAGAAAATGTTATAAAAGATTTTTAAAAATAAAGAACTTTGTTTAGTATATATATATTTGAAATATACAAGACATGTATGAGAGGAGAAGATAATTATATGTGTAAAAATTTCTCAAAACATATTTAAGGACTTTCCAATATGAATAGATTTACATCAAAGTTTCACCATAAATATTTACTTGTTTAACTTAGTTTAAGTCTTATATGTGCTAACAAGTAATATACAAAAGATTATCCTTAAATACATGCTCTTTGTGAATTATATTGTGTTGGTAAAGAATTCAAAATAATAATATAATTAGAGTTATCAAAAAGCACACAGTTGACTCAATTCTATCTTTAGTCCATGTAAATTAAGGCCAAAACACTTAATAAATATAAATTTTATGGGATAAAAAGCCCATAGGACTAGGGTTGAGGTCATTGTTTTATGGATCAAATAAAATTACTAATGTATATCTTAATGACTTACATAGCTAAAAATTATTTAACATGTAAAAATTTATATATCATTCTTGACATCAATAATGTGTTTACAACATCAAATAAAATTAAGATTAAATTAAAATTTTAAAAAATTATTTTAATTTATTCATATGTAACTAAATAAAAGTTATATTGTAATAATAAAAAGCCCATCTGTTATATTTATTTTTTCTTTAATACATGGACTTTTATTATTGTTAAATAATGGTGATATTTTTATATACTATTCTATAAATTTTATATTTTTAATTATTATTTTAATTAAAAAATTCATTTTTAATTCATTTAAAACTTGTTAAGATGATTTTTATGTTTTTTTTGTATGTTATTATTTTAAGATGATTTTTATGTTTTTTTTGTATGTTATTATTTCTTACTTATTACATTTTGGTATAAAAAAATGTTTTACATGCTATTTAGTATCAATGCATGGATCTTAATAAAATGATTATTTTTATTAATTACTATAATTAAATAAATAAATTTTATTAAATTATTTATATTAAAAATACTAAAGTTATTAGTAGTTAGATAGTAAAAATTATTCTTGAAATAATATTATTTTTTATAATGATTAAATGGTAATGTATTTATTTTATTTTATTTTTAAAAATAGAAAAGTGCTTTTGAGAAGTAAATCAAATAAAACCTTAGTGTCTTAAAAAACTTTCTGTCATGTATACAGTATTTCTAAGACTTCTCTTTCTCTTGTCTATACATTTTGAAAACAAGTGTATATTAAATTCATTGAAACATTCACCTTTATTTAAAGTCAAACTTTTTACCAGTTTATCTACATGCTCAATAGTAGAAGGTATGTATTTATTTAGTTTAATGCCTTAGTTTTTTTAACTCAATGTTTTATTGTTTCTTATCCAAATTTACGATCATGGTTTTATTTTTTCTGACCCTTTAAGTTTAGAGATATTTTGTGATATCTAATATCTTAAAATAAATAAATAAATTATAACTCCACTAAAATAGTAAATAAAATAAATAAATAGAGAAATTGAGAGTTTGTTTGATTTAGTTTTAATTTTTTAAAAATTAATTTTAAAACAATTTTATAAAACTGTTTTTAGAAAAATAAAATAAAATAAATTTTGTTTGATAATTTAGTTTTTAAAAAAGAATAGAAAAATAAAAACAAAAACACTTTTTAAAACTACATGTACTTTTTATTTTTAAAAGTCTTAAATTATTTTTTGTTTGTTAATGTTTGTTTTTATTTTTAGTTTTAATTTTTAAAAGTACATGTAATTTTAGTTTTTAAAAAAGTAAAAACTCTTTTTAAAAGTGCAAACAAACATACTCCTAAATAGCAATTCTATTTTTCAGTTTTTAAAATTTATATTAACAAGCAATTTTTTTTATTTTTTTATTTTAAAAATCAAAAACTCTATTTTAAAACAGAAAACAAACAAGCTCTGAGTATTTTAAAACATTTTTTTTCTAGTAAACAGAATTTAAAAGCCCAAAAATATTTTATTATTTATATAGTCTTTCATAATCTCCGCTTATATTTAATTCTTAAAAATAAATGCTTATATTAAAGTTTTGAAAACTGTCACCTTCTATCAAATTACTTAAATTACATTAAAATTTTTAAATTAAAATTTTTGTCGTGTATAATAACTTCTTTTTGAAGTTTTCTGTGTCTGTATTATAAATATTCAAATATTTTTATTAAATATATATATTAAGTTTCTTGTAATCTCCGTCCTAACACAGTATAAAAGGCAGCAAGGTATTACTATTAACTCACACACACATACAATATTTACAATCCTGAAAATAGGACGAGTATAATATCTGCAACTACGAGAGTTGCAGTCACAGAAGTGTTTATCTTTGTCAAAGAAGGTAAGTGTTTATTTATTTTGATGTTTTATTTATTTTTAGTTAATGTTTTATTGTTTCTTTTTCAAATTTATGATCATGGTTTTACTATATTTTTTTCTATTTTAAAGTATAATTTTAGAGAGAAAATAAATGAATCTTGTCAATACTTTTCTTTTTCTCATTTATAATTCGTCTATGTTATTTCTCAACTACTAATTTTGATGTTTGACTTAGTCACCAATCTCATTGAAAAAATAATTTTTAATTTTCTAAATCTTAAATTGTTTTTATTTTTCAAAACAGGAATACTAAATTATTTATCCAGGCGGCAAATGTTGAATGACAGATTGTTGAGTAACTTGAAGATTTGATTGTTCAATTCAGAAAATCAAAATCAAACATCGTCGTCTAACGATCATAATCAAACGATCGTCATTGCAAAGCATTGTGACGATGATGAAAAGAATAAGGAAAGGTGCAACCACAAAACTCAAAAACCTAGTTACAAACTGTGAAGACTGTCCATGAGATATGAACCAAAATTGAAACAGACATAAGTAGAATATCTAATTCAAAAGAAGTAAATCATATTGATCTGGTTCTAAGGATAATCATGGAGGAAGGATCTACTTCAAAATGTTATCATACAAAGATGACCTAATCAATTTCTTTTTAGTTTCTTTAGGTATTTTAAAGAAACATTTTAAAGAAACAATTTCTTTTTAGTTTCTTTAGGTATTTTTAATATTTTATGCGATGAAGATTTGCTCAAAATTATCGTAAAATAGTCAATGTGACACACATAAATATAAATCTATTCTACTTATTATATATTGTCTTTCGACTTTTTTTTTTTTTAATATTTTTAAAAAATCAATTCTTAAAATAATATTTATTTAAAATATATTCTCTATCTGAGTTCTTTTGTTATATTAGCACATGTCTTATTTACTGTATAAATAAAATTTATTTATTTATAATAAAATTTTATCTTTAATAGAGACAAAATTATGTGATTATGACATGTATTATTGTCAAGCCAACTTTTAAAACTTAATTTAATTATGTACAACTTTTTCATATGTAAAAG